CTCCAGCTGGTCTGTTTGTGAGTGTGAGCTTACCAAGTGAACTGAGGGTACTAACTACTGCCTCTATTTTCCCAGGAAGGATTGCTGGATGAGAGGGCAGCAGACACAGAGTGCACTGGCACGAGGGAGCAGACACGGAGTGGAAGTCGAGAGCACACGGGGATGTATTATTGTTGTGTATCAGTTCCATCACTGTAAATAAACGCACTGCTTGCACATAGAGCACCGCGCCTGGGTCCTCCTTCCCCACAGCCCCCACGGTTTGCCATGCCGAACCGTGACAAGATATGGTTTAAAATGCCAACTTCTGTTTGGCAACTCTCTGGCAACAAATCCACCCCTGACCATTTTCTCCTCCTCATTTTGTTGCTCATCCTCTGTTTTGTCAACTAAAGGGGGAAAAAATGGAATTTTTAAAGGTTTTGATGATAAAGATGATAAAGAGCCATTTTAAAGGTGTCTGGATCCAGATCAACTTCAAAGGTTAGTCAGCTCTAAGCAGGGCCGAGCCAGATTTCTACTGAAATGTTTATGAAACACAGTTTTGAATAATCCTGTTAACAAGCTAAACTAATCCCAAAATCTCGCTGAAGTCAAAATTTAAAATGAGGGACAATTAATACTTTTTCCCCAGCATAACGAGAAACATTCACAATTGTCTCAGCTATGATGCCTGATAGATCAACCATCTTAGTGACACAACAGACTGCAGCCGTGCTAACCAAAAGTGCTATTAGACAATAAACACTACAATGGAAGTAAAGCGCCTATTAAAGCCAATAAAGGCACTCATTAAAGCCATTTTTAATAAGTATGACGCATGTTCTTACAGAACGATTATGTCTTACACTACAGAGCTTTGCAAAGAGGCTGCTGGTTGTGGTGAACAGATCAATGGATGATAAAACCAGCAGATTCAGTGTGGTGTCTAATGGAATCAAATGTTTCCTCAGTGCTGCAGAATTGCTTTGCATTCAGAACATGTGGGGACGAACAGGGGATTTTACCTCTGAAAGCTGCTCGCTCAAACACTTCATACACAGAGAAAGTTTGTGACAGAAAGAAAACTTTAGCAGCAGTCTGTATACTTTCTGTCATCCACCTGAATACTGGTGAGCATACAGAGTGGTGCACAGTGGTGATGGTGAGAAGAATTTAGATCCCAGGATGCAGTGAATGAGAAATAAATGTTCAATGTTCTTTCCAAAACTTGAAAGGGTTTAACATGCTACACCTACACCTGGCTCCTGTTTCACATTATGCAACCAATGGCATCGTTACTTATAGATGTATAAAAGATAGATCCAGCTGCTGTGGTAGGATCCATCTGTTTTTGAATGTCATTAAGAAGCTTCAGGATGAGTATTTTCACTGGTTCCATTTTGGTGCTTTAAAACCAAAGGTGACTGGTGCGTTGTAAATTTTACTGTGAACCCACAACCTATAATATATCCTAGATGATCCTAGTGATACGTATAAATGCACATACACATAAACACATAAAATGAACTTAACATGTTTGATATGATCAGAATGGAGTGACCGAGCCCATCAAATCATCAATAAAACAGTTCCCATATTCTTCTATAGCATCAGAACCCGTGTTTGCAACCTCAGTCATCGCCCCCTGGTGGTCGTTATAAAGAATGCAGGTTTAAGGCCATTTTGCGTCAACTTGACTTCAGATCTAAAAGCTACATCTATCATCTACATCATCATTCAAATACAGATCAAGGGGGTCCATTTAGAGAACATTTCCTCAAACAAAAATCCAAAATGTAAAAGCCAGCATGCATTAAAATTCAATGTAATAAACTTTGATACAACTATTAGGCTACTTTAGTGTCTTTTCTCCGTTTCCCTGACTTGTTTCTTTGGATGCCTCTATATGAGTTACAATGCATGCAACTAGCTTGTATTTCCTGTGTACAAACACTGACTACTGTAAAAACAAAAGAAAATGCTGATTAAAATAACTAAACTGTAATTGCGGGAAAAGTTGTGCTGAGTAAAATAAAAAATGCAGCACTAGGTCTGGGTCTGTAAAGAACAGTCCACCTATTTTTTTCCAATGTATGTGGATACACATCTTTCACCAGTCATACATAATAATTTATTTGACCCAAAGAATCATGGGTGTACTGACATAGGCCCATGAATGATGGGGTGGCAGAGGTACTCAGCAGCAGCCAATACGTAAAAGAGTAAACGTCTGAGAAGCACTTGCTTTACAATATTCCATGCACAGTCACAAAAGTGGAGAGATGGAACAGGTTTTCAAGTGCAATGGGAGACTTTAGATTACTGCTGAGCTCATTTACCATGATGTATGCAGCTCTACATGTAAAAGTCCATTTTGTTCAATTAAACCAAGCTGCTGCCTTTCTTACAAATGGGAGATAATGAGCCCATCTGGCAAGAAAGTACTTAGAAGACGTGTTTCTCCATTAGTGGCAATGATGACTGGTTTTCTGTTTTTAATTCCAATATAATGGCTGTAACAATTAACTGGTTTTAGCCATTAGTGGCACCAAGAGGAAAGAACTTGCACTGGTTTCAGTCTATTGTGTGTTTGTCAAGATTGAATAAAACCAGGTTCATTCCAGGTTTAAAGGAAAAATACATCTGTTGTTTTAAAGGGGAACTATTATGCTTGTCCTTACTTTTGTAATATTTTACACTGATCAGAGTTTCTGCCAGGAAGTTGTTAACCCCAGTGGCTTTGACAAGCAAAATTAATCAATGTGCTTTAACACTAACTGATAGGTGCATCTCCTCAGACGCAGCGACAAGCAGTGGGGTTTATTTCCCATTTTACGGCCTACACCAGTGACAGAACTCTGCATCAACT